ATACAGGAAGCAGACCACATCCCAAAGGCAGCTACTTAGCTGCTTGTGGCAAATCCCACCATGGAGCTGATTGCCAGTCTCATCATGGGGAATAACTACCACCAGCTGCCCAGCCACTCAACCAGGCCTAGCCAAGTTGATATACAAACATAACCACCACAAGTGTGATCATGGGAATCTTTATTATCTTAGCAGGATTTTGCATTACAATGGTTACATCAACTTGTAGGATTAGAGGGGAGGAAAGTATATTACTGATTTTTCCCTAAATATTTTTATTGGTTTAACCTTTGCAATAGTCACATATTACACTTATATTTTAAAAACTTTATTTCACCATATAGTGGATTTTGAATGGTATGTAGTGTTGTGCTACTCAGAGACAGAGAATATTCCAAATAAAAGAAGCTTGTAAAGAAAGATACACATAAACAATAGTCTTGAGGGGGGAAATGAGAGCCGTTAACTAGTACATGATGATAGAGATTTCTTAGATGTTGGAAGACAGGTTTAGGGGGAGTTATAATGGGGAAGATCTGGACTCATTGAATGCCCCTATTCTTCTAAAGGATCAATATGTTGAACATTCTGTGTGACCCACCTAAATTTTTATGTTACAAGAAAATTTTGCTTTATTAAGTTAAAATAAATAAATCAAGTATTGTGTGCATGAAGAATGTAATTGAAACAGAAAAGTTAATATACACCTAATATTCTAACACTATAAGCACAGTACCTTTGAATGAAAAAAAGAAATTATCAACTCTGTGGACATTTGAAATGCTAAATACTTATATCCCATGGGGGAAAACAGGTAAGAAGTCTAGCTGTGTTTGAATTTCTACTGAAGAAGTGAAAATAAATAAATAAATTAAACTGACATCGGTAGAGTTTTTAAACTCTACTTTACACTTTTGTATTTTTCCATTCTGTATTATAAAAACTAGCACAAAAAACTTCAGCTGTATTTTTTTAAATGCTGCTCTTACTCTAATATATATTAAGTTGCATACAAACACATCATTTAAAAAATTAATTTTAAAAAACTAAGTATAGCAGTAAGTACCTCATATTTTACCACTGTAACATTTTAAAAAAAAATTAATACCACCTTTTATTAAAAAATGTATACGTTATATGCATAAATTACTTTGAAATTGTTAGGAATTAAATGTTTTCTTTTTTGCAATTTTAGCCTGAATTCATTTTTAAATAAATGACACCTTGGTAGATGTAAAAAATGGAATTAAATAATCAATTTAATACTCATATTTTGGAAGACCAGTTGTCCAATGTGGAAATAAATATCCCCACATTAGTTACCCCTTCTTGGGTTTCCGAGGTGGTATCTCTGCAACAGTAGATTGCCCAGTCTTCATTCAGAGGAGTGATTGGTGAGTTTGAGCTGCCAGCCCTCTGATTAGCAGCCAAATGCCTTAGGCACTATACCACCAGAGCTCCCACATAGAAATGTTTTTTTAGTATGAGTATACTGTATAGTAGAATGTACTTTTATGATATAGCTTCAAGGTGATGACATTGTTTGTAATTGCATCATGAGATGTAATGCTTTAAC